TTTTTACATACTGAAGTACAAAGGTTTTATTTCTCTATAACAACAGTTGGCCGTAAGAGATGTACGGTGAGAGATAGTGATCTCTAGCTTGATAAATTAAGAACCTCGCTTTTCCTCTTCTCCAAACCCATTGTTTGGACTTTAGATCTCGTTTTGATTTATAAAGGTTGTTTCATACAATACAAAATAATGATAATTGAATTGATTCAGTTGTAACTAAAAATGTTTCCAAAAAAGTTTTATGAAAACAACATCGAACAATGCAATTTGATTATAACGCGAAATTGATAATATTGACACAATCCCATCGTTTCACCCTTATCCTATATACACCGCTATGCTACTCAATAAGTAATTAAATTTCTACTTCTAAAGATTACAGTATATCACCGTTGTGTTTTTTTGTTCCCGCTTTTCACAAGAGAAAGTCTTTCGGCTTTTTTTGAATGAAAGTCTTTGATTAACATTTTAATACAGCGGAACATTTCACCCTTTGATATTTTCGATTGCTTTCCCCCCACTAAATTGAACAGGTGCACTTCTTTTTTAAATAAAACTGGTGTTGAGCTCGTTTGATCGATCAAATGACTCCAGATGTTCAACCTCTCTACATATGTACAGTTAAGTATACCACTTTCCACAGAATCATTTCTCTCGAGAAATATTAACTTCAACAGCAATTTCGAAGGGCGAGCAAACAAGGATAAGTTTGGACACATTTTCAATTTGATTTTACACTTACTTTAATTCAAGGATATTCAGGAAATTCAATTTAACCAGACTAGGGGCAAAAAAGGGAGTAAACAACTTAACAGAGCTGTAAGGTCATTGGCTGTTCTACTGTACAACCACTAAGCTAGTAACGCACACAGAGAGTTTTGATATACTGTTAATTGGCATTGATTTTCTACAAGTTAAATACTTAAATCTTATTTCCAGCAACATGAATCTAACAATAACTTCAGAAAACTGCATATTCAACGCTACCAACAGTACCTTATGCATGGCGAACACAGCAGCCAAGTTTTCGTTACCTCGAATGGTTCTCACTGTTGTTTACACAACTATCGCAGGTGTTTCTTTTTCTGGAAATGGTCTTCTTTGTGGAATCATTCTGCGCAAGAGGAAAATGTTGAAAAAGAACTACAATGTTTTAATTTTCAACCTTGCAATTGCGGATGCTTTTTTAACAGGTAACGGGTATCTAAGCATTGTATATTCAAAATCAATTTTGATGTGACTTTTATCTAACTTTCGTGGCAAAAGTAGCTTCAGAGGCCTGCAAGTATCAGTTTTGGAAAGGAGAGCATTGTGCGCATATTTTGAATGCCACATGTTTATCTCRGACTACATTWGCCTTAGACTAGCAAGCAAGCATGCAAAAAAGCAATCGGCTTAGCAGGCAAGCGGTTAAGAGGTCGGCACACAGGCAAGTTAAGCAGGTAGTCAGCTGAGGCAGGCCGTAAGCAAAACATCTAAGAATTAGAAAGCCAAAAACTAAGCGAACAAATGAGTACGCTAAATGGCAAGCAAGCAAAAAGGAAGTACATAACTTTTAAAACACACAATTTAAAACCAACAACAGCAACAACAAAATTAGAACCCAACGATATGTACACCATTCAAGTTTACGACACTATTGGGCTCTTCGAGCTGGTATTATGAAAAGTACTTCAGCCCACTTTGTGTCAACAGTCAAACCAAACATACAACGATCATCCCCCATTTTAAAGCACTTTTTCAAAATGCTTGTTAATTGCAACTACTCCAGTAGTTTTCTATTTATTGACTTTAAGAATATTTTATCTCCAAAATCTGCTGATTAAATATTTACAACTTCAAAAGTGACAACCGAAGAAACTTTGAAACAAGAACAAAGAAAAAGCGTGCACCTTAACCCACCAAACTATAATCAGGTGTAGCATACGTTTCTTCGTGTTTACATTTTAATTTACTTTTTGGTACGCTGGAGAGTATTCCATATATTAGATTGTGCCCAATTGAGAGCAATCATCCAAGTGCTTTTAAACTTTGACTGAAATTACTATGAATTTAATAAGTCGATTTTTTGTCCAATGACATTCGAGATGGGTCTGTAGCTTTTAAACAACGGCAATTACCACAAGCTACACGACACCTTGCCTTGCCAGTCTATCAAATTTCGAAGTTCTAAAAACACGATTTCAAGTCAAAGTTCAAAATGGCAAACGCAGACGTTTTTTCTTCGAATGGTACTTCAGGGCAAAGCAACAGCACTGAACTACGAGAACAAAGTGTGCCGATTAGAATAACATTTGGAACAATTGCAGTTCTTTCTTTTGCTGGAAATCTTCTACTTTGTATCGTGATGCTGAAGAAACGCTCTATGCTTAGTAAAGCTTACAACGTGCTTATATTTAATCTTGCTGTAGCGGATACTCTGACAGGTAGGTTAAGTCGGCGTCCCTTTTCTTGTTTGTCAAGTGGATTTTAACGCTAACACATAAACACACAAGATATATACAAACTATCAGCACACCAACGCATAAAAAATGAATAGACATGATAGACATATTTTTGTCTTATTAATACCGAGGATTTTTTTCTTAAACCGTGCTTTCAACTGATGGTGATGAATTTCCATTCGTGATTGTCGATCTATAAACAACTTAACTGGGTTTTTTCACGACGAGACATTGTTGTTTATGTTCATCAGTTTTCAGTCTTAACCATTTTATTTTTTTTTAGTTGAAGTTTTGAGTCTCTTATTGCTTTGGATATCATGTTATAAACGAAAAAGCGACTTCAATGAATAATGATTACTATAAGCCAGGTTTTAAAGTTGAAAAAGATTATGAAAAAAAGAATATTTCCACTATCGTTAATACGTAATCAGTCCATAATTTTAGATTCCAGTTTTGGTAGAGAAGTAATAATTCCCTGTCAAAATGAGAGAAAGACACCACGGCGAACTTTCCAGATGCACATAACTGGATCAACATCGCCGTTTTTCTCCTTTTTTTCTCTTGTCGTGTCGGCTGTCAAGCTGTCTAGTCCAGGCCCGTGTGATGTTTGAACTCGGTCAGTTGAATAAACAGACCGGTTTCTTGCCTTCGTTAAATCGATAGTTACATTGAAGGCTTTGAATTTAAGTTTGTCTCAAAGACTGACTGTTGTCAAACTTCAAAACAGAGAAAATTAAGAGGCGCTGAAGATACGGTATTTTGGCGGGAATTTTCGGCGCCAAAATTGCGCGAGCGTGCAGTCTACATGTGGTGATATTCCTTCCATGCATGACTTTAATCATAATTTATCTTCTTAAATTGTTTTACAATTAAGTGAATTATAAATTACTGTGATTTAAACAAGCAGAATTTTAGTTTCTACTTGTCAATAACTTTTTAGTTTGTGGTAAATGAAATGAGAGTCAGAAACTGTGATTTTTAAGCAACAAAAGACGGTTTCCCCTGCAATCTTTAATATCTTGAATATAGTTACCACAAAAGCCGGTGGAGGTCTGCATGCAGATACTCTGATTTATTTCCAAATTTAATTTCCTGTATGTCATTTCCGAGTTATCTGGAATCCAGATTAATTATATCAGTCAAAATCTTAAATTGAACCTTGACTTTTACCTTTAAGGCGTTTGCTTCCGACCAGAAGAAATAAATAAATAAATCAGTCATTGCACCTTAATCATCAATTTTACTTACATGACTTTGACAGAGAGGGTTCGAATGCTACTTTGATGCTGTCTTTTTAACCTTTTAATTTTATTTTTTTATGTTCTTCTTTATTCTCTTTTGTACATTTGTTTATTTTATTTTTTACTGTGTGTTTTTTCTTCGGCTTCTAATTTAATGTTTATTATGTGTTTTCTTTTCGTTTTTTCCCCTCTCTTAAGCGGCAAGAATGTTACATATCACATTTTACAAGTAGAAGTCCTTGCCCGTGTGCAGTGTTTGTCACATTTCAGATCTTTAGAAGACATGAATTCTATATTTCCAAACGGTCTGAATATGAATGGAACATGATTGCACTGATTGCCATAGCCGCTGAGAGGGTCTCATCTCGTCTCATCTAGTTATTGAGAAATCGATCTTATTCCTTCATTAAAACTGACATATTTAAAATTTTGTATAATCAACAGGAATATTTATAGTGGCCACGCCCGACTACGTTTTCATCCGTAGGAAATATCCTTTCCCAGAAAGCCTTGTGGGTGAGATATTCTGTCGTCTGGTCGGTTCAACATATATTCTCTTCATCTTCGGCAAGGCGTCAAACCTGACAATCATGTTTCTGGCCATTGACCGTTGGTATTCCATCGTTAAACCGATTGYTTATAAAACCAAATTCAGCAGAAACCGTTTGTACTGGTATATTGCCCTTATATGGTTTATAAGCTGCCTAACTCAAATCAATGAATTATTCATCACTTTTGTGAATGAGGGACTCTGCGATTTTCAAGCCCCGTTCTACGAYAGCGAAGTCGAAAGAATCCTTATCCTAACGCACGTGACCTTGACGTTCCACATTCCAAGCATAATCACGTGGTGCTCATTTGCGCATATTGTGTTGCACATGCGCAAAGCAGCGTTCAGACGTAGTCATAACAACCTGAAGGCTACGCATAGGCTACTGCGCATGTGCGCTTTGGCCGCGTTATTCCTATCAATCTGCTGGCTACCAACAGAGACTTTCTTCGTTCTGTTCAAGTTTAATGTGTACAAGTTGCCGTTTACTGCTTCGTTAACTCTCAGTGTTCTGGCCATGTTTAATTCTTGTGTAAACCCTTGGATTTACTGTCTAAGCAACAAGGAATACAGGCGAGAATTCCTTAAGCTATTGTGCTGTTCAGGAACCAATGGAGTTYCACTGCCGAGATTATTCACAAGGGTCTCTTCCTCTCAAAGTCAATATTCTTTCAGCAACGTGGCTTCTTTGTCAACAAACGTGAGCCTCTCTAATCTGGACGTCGAACTCTCGTTTACGAACAAGTCACGTGACTCTGTGGTTGGCCAATGGGATTCTTCTGAGGCGACTTTGAAGAGATATTCTTACCAGGAAACGGGATTTGACAATCTATCTAATGGATTAGCCAATCATAAACTTTAATATCAACAGAACCAAATGAAGTAAGTCACTTATGGCGCCAATGAAATAAGTAACAGCAAATGGCCTTCAAGGATTAATCAATTATAAGCTTTAAAGTAAACAATACAAATAAACTGGGCTTACAATACGGCGAATACGGCGCCGATGAAACAAACATTACAAGAATAAGTTTAATTTAAGAAGAGCGAAATTCAATTTCTTTTGAATTCAATTTATGTTATGAAGAGAAGGCCACATTGCCGATTAGAAATGTTGATGGAAATTTTGTTAGTCTAATCTTTTCGCATGCAGTTTAAGAACTTTTACTGATATTTTTTCTCAGGCATTATGGCCAATACTGTATCTGAGAAAAAAAGCTAAAATGAAAAGCCGACACTGAAAATAAAAAAATATAAAAATGATGTATAATAATAATATACAAATTTATCGATGTTGTCAAATATCTCAGGTGACTCTAACTGTTGATAATAAATGGAGTAAAGAAAAATCTGGATGGATGGATAAAGGAATAATGGTACTACATAACATGGAGGATAGTTCGACGTTCTTGAGTAGCACAATTACACATCTGTCCCTTTACAAACAATTAAAGAGCTATGCAGTGTTTATGCAAGTCTTTTCAAAATTGATGTCAAACGTGTTTCCGTCCGTGCGAGTACAATGAGCTAATCATTTCGATTCCAGCTTAACCTTTTGTACCATAAAAAATAGAAAATGTAACATTTGATATCATTTTTTGTGTGCTTCCTAAACCTAGTCAACAGACTCAAAATGACGGACGTCCCATTCTCATTTCAAATGAACAGGAAATATGACATCAAGGTATTGTTCCAGGCAGCCAATCAAATAGCGGCAATTGGACATCAATAAAGCCAGTCAAGTGCTGTGCAAACGGAGTTTTTTCAACATATCACTAATTGCTGAATCTGTCTTGGAAAATTGTCTCTTTCGTCCGCCTTTTTTAGAATTGTGTATCAACTTAGAAATTAGGATGACATTTGATGTAAGGAACTCGTATGAAATTACGAACATTAGCGGTAACTACACCGTGGAAAGAAAGGTTTTGAGTAATGCAAAAATGGTGGACCCAAAATATGGCTTTCTTGCCCATGTTGCGTTTGGTGTGATCGCATTTCTCTCAGTTATCGGGAATGTTCTTATTTGTGTTGTTATTCTGAGAAGGAAGAACTTACTCAAAAAACCATGCAATATTCTGATCTTGAATTTAGCTGCTACGGATTTACTTACAGGTAAGCAACTKATAAATGTTTCATGTTTCTTGTTGTAAACTTGTTTTATAGGAGTGTCAATTCAAATGTCTGTGCGCGATATTTGCTTTTTTTAACTCAAAAAATTTCACTCGAAAAATATTTCAAAAAATTAAAGCGAGGAATATATGGCGAAACACATAGGAAACTTTTTATATCTATGATATTAGAGATACTTTTTATCTTGCGCAATTAAGAAAGACGAATGCTGGGGCTTTGTTTTTACTAGATCACAATTAAAAACATTAATGTACCTGAAAAAGACAAGACGGCGAAGACGCACTTGTTTTACGTTTCCACATGCACGAAAGCTTTGTTAAAACGCAAATGCAACTTTCCCAGTTACGACTACGGTACTACTTCAATACGGTACGTGCGTATGGCGTCGATTTGCGTACGGATTATCACAATAACGCCACACAGCTACTATACGGAATAATATATAAACTCACTTAGATTTAGAGGTATATATGTTCTAACTTTGACCACGCTTGTAACGCGCGTTTGAACATTTCAATGAAAAAATGCGCAGTAGAAATTAATAAATTGTTATTGTTATTATATATTTTTATAAAGTGGAAAATTTGAATTAAGAGCAAGAAAAAGAAACTTTTCATGGATATTTTTCGACTTTTTTAATTCGCTTTTCTCGATGAGACCATGGTTCAACGAATACTGAATTATACCCCAATAATAAGAAAGAACACCCGTAAAGAAAAACTGCAAGAAATGCATACAAAGGCTGAAAAGCGCACATACTAGGATTAGCGTAAACCGATGAGTAATTTTCTGAGTAAATTTGAGAAGCATAATTACAGAAAAAGAGGTTTTCAGCSTACAGTTTGATAATTTACTTTAGCGAATTCATAGTAAAATTTACGCACAGAACATATTGTTTCGAAAAACACATTCATTTGTAAATATTTAGTTGAAATTACAAAAGTAAAGAATGTTATTTTGAGCATGAGTTTACGTCAGTATGGTTTTTGTCACTTGAGAACTTCAAATAGGTCACATTTCATAATTGTACTTCTCATTTTGTATATGAAGCTGGTTTTGCTAAAAATAGAAAATATAGTGACATAAAGATATATATTGATATTTTGAAAATTCATGATCAAACTGATATTTGAAATGATACAATAGAGTGATGCAGAATAAACAAAAAGGTGTTTTTAACTTCGTCACCAAAATTGCGAAAGAGGGACTACTTCAAAGCACAATTCACCGACTGTCTTTTTTCGAGATGAACTAGAGAGSCATATAAACAAGTCATCTGAAAAATATAAGCTTTCAAAGACTCCTCCTTTTCTAATCTCGTATATTTGTAAAGAAACATATCTAAAATGGAAAACAAATTTAATATCATTTCTCTTCGTTAACGGCGAGAGCTAAATGTAAAACAGATGTTTTTTAATTTTTCTAGTAAATTTCRCAATTGYCAAAACTAGGCAAACATAAATAGTAGTTGTATAAGTCAGTTGTATGTTTAAATAGCTGGCTCAAATAGGTTTTTTTCGAGGAGTTGAGGCTATCATTCGTTCAGGCTTGCTGAGCTATTTTTAAGAAATCGACATAATTTCACCAGAGAAGAAAGAAAAAACGCYGTGGGGGGTTGAAGATATATGACATTTTTCCTTTCCTCCTGTAGTCTATTGCGCACCTTTTAAACGCATTTTTTCCTAATATTTTGGCATCAGCATCCGATCTAAATCTGACCTTCAGAAGATCATTTTTGGCTTTCATGCATCCRAGCGCCTGATGGAACAAAAGGATTTTCTAATAGAATGAATGTCAAAGATGACAAATTCATGTGATCTATTTGAGTTTATTTTTTGAGCCTATCCTACGCTACGTGGGCCAGWGGAAAACAGATGTTAGCAAATAAGACCAAAATGAAAGGAAAAATGGTGGAAACTAGCGGTAAACTATTGTGAGCTGCGTCGGTGTTTCTAAAAAGAAACAGTTTTGTAAAAAGATAAATTCAACACCTTAAAAAAATAGGTGAAACAATTTACTAACGTTTCAGTTTCGGAAGGATTAACGTCCGAAATGTCAATAAGTTGTTTTACCTAATTTTTACGGTGTTAAATTTATCTTTTTACACAACTGTTTCAAAATAAGACTGGAGTTTAGTCCTTCGCGCCATCTTACTTATGGAAAGAAAAGAGACAGAATAGCTTCTCAGATTTTCCTTTCTCTTGTTTTCTCCTTTATAACTTGGAGTTTGCGCTGGCAGACAGCGAGCTATTGGAGTTGGACATATTATCTAAATGTGTCACTCACTCACTTACTTTCCTGTAGACTTGAGCTTATTGTTCGTTTGTTATCAGATTTTTCTTAGATCATTAGATATGACATATCTACACAAACAACATATCAAACTGAAAACATTCAAAAGTAATCGTTCGACATTATCTTCTTAGATAAACACGGTTTCATTAACTTCCGATAATTAAATACAATTCCAATTTTCGACAAACAAACGAAAGAATTGCAATAATAAGCTTTCAAAAACACAATGACTTAGAGCAAGTCTTTAGAAGTTTTTATGTCCGGTATTTTGAATTGAGCTCGTAAACTCGTAATTCAAAAAGGCGGCCGTGAAAACAAAAGAGGGAAGAAGCAATTTTTCCGGACATTTAATTCTAAAATAGCTATTATATAACGCGCGCATTGGCACCTCCGCATTGGTTGGTTGAAATGTGGAAAATATATGTTTTATTTAAGAAATATAAAACGGCGCGCGTCCTCACTGATATAAACACGGTGCATGGGAATTGAACCAACGATAGAAGCAAGCTTACAAACACGAGCGTAGCGAGTGTTTCTCTTGCTTCTCGAGTGTTTTTCAACTCCCACCGTGTTTACATCAGAGAACAGAGACACAGGCGGTCGTTTAATATTTCTGTTATAAAAGTTTTCTGCGTTTTTGGAGCGAAAGACAAATTTTGCTGGTAAGCCGTGTCTCTGTCCTCTGATATAAACACGGTCGTCAGCCAATCAGAGCGCTCGTTATATATCAAAAATTTTATAAAAGAGCATACAAACATAGTCTCCTTAGCAGCCTACCCTTTTGTCGGGCTTCCTGTGGGAACTCCAATATATATTATTGTCTCAGAAATTATTAATTTAAGGCATAATATTTATATATTTATAATCGATTGGTTTGTCATTCAAATTTTCAGCTCTGTTCCTCGTTGTTACACCAGACTTCGTGCTACCGTTCAGCCTATTCAAAGTCCCAGAAAACCTTGCAGGGGAGCTGTTTTGCCGACTCATCGCCTCCACGTACATATTATTCACATTCGGGAAGGCGTCCAGTCTCACTGTGATGTGTATGGCTGTGGAGCGCTGGTACGCAGTCGTTAAACCRATGAAATACAAGGTGACTTTTCGCAAGCGACGCCTGGGACTTTATATCATGATCGTGTGGATCTTCAGYTGTTTCACTCAAATAAACGAACTATTCCAAAAGACATCCCRGGGTGGYCACTGTAGACGTACCGACCCCCCTTACGGGAAGAAAACGTCACAGCTTCTAACGCTWTTTCACATTGCAATGACGTTCTATATTCCTAGCATTGTCACGTGGGCGACGTTCACCGATGTTTGTTTGAGCATGCATAAGAACAGGAAGATCACYGCACATTGCTGTATGACGAATTACGGCGTTGCCAAGCAACGTATTGTCCGCATGTGCGCAATCACGGCATTTGTGCTGACGCTGTGCTGGTTTCCCGCCGAAACGTTTTTCATACTACTGACTTTTGACACGCTAGTTTTGCCCTTTGAATTTTACCGGTTCACTATTGTCCTTGCGATGTTTAACTCGTGTGTAAACCCTGTGATCTATTGCTTGAGCAATAAGGAGTATAGAAAGGACTTTCTCAGCCTGTTTAGTCATTGCGATCGTGTGCAGATACTTGACGCCGCTGGCAAAGGAGTGCGGAAGTCTCTCAGCATTCAGACATTCAGRAAATCAACGATCAATGATGATAATCAACAGTGCACGACCTCTTACGAAACAACACTCGACCTTCCTAGGTCTGTTAAAAGTGACAGCTTTGGGAATTTAACGAGAAACAGTGMTTCAGCAATACTTCCAGAGATGGAGTTGCCATCGAAGTATGTGTGAATATCTGCTGACTATTTTGCATATAATGAAAAAATATAGCACTATATATATTTGCAGAACTGAAATACTATGTCTTAGTTCATTTTTTTTTTTGGATATTTTTTATTTTTACAAAATATGTATTACTTTACAAAATATTAATTGCTATTTACATGTAGAGAGTGCTTGGCAGTAGGCCAGTAGTTTTTTTTTTGTTGTTGTTTTTTTTTGTTATTCTGTTATTTCTTTATTAACAATCAACATAATGATAAGTTATATAGTAGAATAAAATATAATAAGACAGAAAAAGAAAATATTTACAATTAAGGAGGGCACACTACGTGCTACCCTCAAGATGATTTTTAGATAAATTATTATAATAGGGCAGAAATCACAGAAACAGTATTTACATCCAGGTCACTTTTTTAACATAAACACAGTATTAGAAGAAGAAGAAAGACAACTATAAAAATATATATAACGAGAATTTAGTATTCAGGGAAGAGTCAGGGCATCAGTAATCTTTCCCCATTTATTATTATGTCTGTGCATTTTATCATTTGCTTTTGCTATTCTTTTTTCAATAATCTCAAAGTGTTTCACAAAATTCCTAAAAGATACGATAGAAAGTATGCCTTTTCCTCTGGATTTATAAATGAATAACTTGAATAATAGTAATATTAATATGATCTTACTATTATTCAAGTAGCTAGTTCATTTAACTGGACATCAAGGACGTAACGGAGGGCACAATCTCGTACCAAGAGCCTGCACTTAAATTATCAGAATACCGCTGACATTAAAAGTGAAGACTCTAGGGTCGAGATTGTCTACATTATCTTTCCACAGGGAGCCCGAAATATATGAAAACTGGAAAAGCGATATACATTTTACCTGTGGAGAGGTAACTAATGATGACATTACACAATTTTAGATAGCCTGCGTAGCGGCCTCCCCCTCCCCTTTTTCCTATCCCCAGTTCCCCTAAAGCCCCTACGCAGGCTAATCTAAACCACTCTACTATGAAAACAATTGTGTATAATATTGTATCTATTGTATAATATCAATGATCCATTTTGTACATATCTCAATAAAACAATATACAGAATATAGAACCAGGAACTCTTTGTTGAAATGCCCAGAGTGTTGGGCTTCCTTTCTAATTAAGAGCCGCTATACTCGAAGGTCAGCGGTAGTAATCCCACGTGCTGAARTCAACATGGCTGACAAAAAGAAGAARTCTTCGACGAAAGAAATCAAGAAAAATACCAAGCTTATACTTGAAAGTTTATCAAATGCTAATCTTTTAGTTGATATTCTTGATATTTCTGATACCGAAGAGGTTGAAATACTTTTAGCRTTCATCAAATCGGTACACAAAATCTTCACTTCGTTCCTGAACAACAASAAACTCGTCCAAAAGAAATCTGCTCAAAACGTTGAAGATGGCGAAAAGACGACCACTATGGATGACGAAGAGAATCCAGACGATGTATTTGGAGTGTGGCTTTATGAGAAATATYTAGCAGTTATCAACAGGCTACTTAAACTTCTCAACCACAAAGTTACTGATGTACAAGAGCTATCTCTGTGTACTTTGATGAAGTTATTGGTAGCTGAACACAAAGGTYTTGTCACAAATAGCAAATCATTGTTTCCAGTTGTTTTGTACGGCAAAATAATCGACGAGTTATTAAATGACGACTATGACATGAGTGGTTTGATTGATAGATTTGGCGAGTTTGTKGAATACGATGACGTACGGTATTATTCATTGAAGAATTTGAACAAGTCGCTTCAAAATCGCTCAACAGAAGCCCCAAAGTACAACTTCTTTGTCAAAAACACTTATGCTTTGCTCAATCTAGTGAAATTGCCTTCCAGTGAAGAAGAAATGACAAATTTCTTGGTTGTTAGTGWCCAAACTCAAGCAAAAGAGAAAGATAGTCAAAAATCTGACCTGTTTCTAYTTAAAGCACACAAGAAACAGTTTAGCAAGGCATGGCTGGCTTTCCTAAGCCAGTCCCTTACATCTGAGATGCATAAGAAAGTCCTGTTGAATCTACACACAAGTGTAATCCCTTATATGAATGATCCAAAACTGCTGATGGATTTTCTGACAGATTCATACAAYTCTGGAGGTGCTATAAGTCTCCTTGCTTTGAATGGACTGTTTATTCTTATCCACAAACATAATCTTGAYTATCCAGACTTCTACAAGAAGCTGTATGCACTACTAGAACCAGGGATCTTTCACGTTAAGTACCAGTCCAGATTTTTTCATCTTCTGGATCTGTTCTTGACATCYACACATTTGCCTGCCTACTTGGTGGCTGCATTTTGCAAGAGACTTTCACAGCTAGCATTGTCTGCAACACCACAGGGCGTCATTCTTGCTATCATGTTTGTGAAGAATTTGCTTAAAAGGCACCCGAGTTGTCAAGTTTTGATTCACAGAAAAGAGGTTAGTACTTGTATCAGGGTTTGTGCTGCTGTTTAAAATACTTAAGGTGTTTCATAGTGGTTGGCAATCCCGCGCACCTATCATTTTTAAACGGCCATTTAACCAGCTTAATCAAACTCGATTTTCTTAAAATAAACAGGCAATGTTGTACTTTGCTGGAAAATTTTAAAACATGTATTTTTTTTAATTTACTACAAAAATAGCAGTTTTTTGGTAGAAAGAAAGAATTCAAAGAAAGCTGTTTTCCGCACAATTTCGATGACACCTAGAAAAACCAAAAGTACTGCGTTTAACTGTAGGATATAGCTAATAACATATCTCAAAATCATGGAAATTCTTCTAGCCGATTTTGAGAAAAACGATTAAACATGTATGTGTGTTGCGTTTTTATGCTTTGACGCAGATGCTCACAATCGGCATATATTCGTGATAAAATGCCAATGCCTGAAGCTCAATCTCACAGCAAAAGACTTGTTTGGCTTATAAGATAATGCTGTACAAGTATAAAATTATGTCTCTTGCCAGTTTTGAAGATGTAATTTTTATCAGTACATAGTAGCTTCTGTAGCGACTCTGAAAAAGTGTAGTTTTAGCGTTTTTCCAATTCATTCAAACCTGAGGCTGTATTTTGTTTTTGTTCTTAACTGAGTTGTTTTATCACTATATGGACAACATTGTTGCTAAGTTTCGATTGGATTGATACATTTTAACCTGGTCATAAAAAATTACAAAGTTTGCTTCAAGATGCGTTCAAGAATTTATGTTTTGGCTGCATGGTCGACAGCGCACGAGAAAATGTTTTAATATATTCAAGCAGATGTAAAGCATAAAAACGCAACACATATACATGCTTAATCGCTTTTCTCAAAATCGGCTAGAAGAATTTCCATGATTTTGAGATATGTTATTAGCTATATCCTATAGTTAAACGCAGTACTTTTGTTTTTTCTAGGTGCCATCGAAATTGTGCGGAAAACAGCTTTCTTTGAATTCTTTCTTTCTACCAAAAAACTGCTATTTTTGCAGTAAATTAAAAAAAATACATGTTTTAAAATTTTCCAGCTAAGTACAACATTGCCTGTTTATTTTAAGAAAATCGAGTTTGATTAAGTTGGTTAAACGGCCGTTTAAAAATGATAGGTGTGCGGGAGTGCCAACCACTATGAAACACCTTAAAAATCCCTTGTTTTCAAAGTCACTTGAAAAACCCCTTTTATATACATACATGTAGATTACTAAAACTCCTAGAATGCTCCTTGAATTTGAGAACACATTGCTTTTTGACTTTTGAATTGAAATAAGGGTATTTTTAAAATAGTCATCAGACACTTCTGAAAATATCTTCAGAAATATTCYTTTAAAATCGCATTTTTATGCTTAAAAAGTACTTGAATAGTCCTGGAATTTTGTATTGAAAATGAAGCATAAACCTTGTTGTACTTTTAAGCAATCAATTCTTCAGTACCATGACTTTGTCTTTATACTTTAAAAAGCATGTTGAAATAAATGAAGCAAATTTGCTTTGAGTACAACCTGAGGAAACTTGTTGGGCTTTTGATATTTATGCCCATCAAATACCTTTCATTTTCATGGTTGATCTATGTGATGTATTACATCAAGTATTTCCCTGACGCTGTTTGTTTTTATCTCCAAATTAGGTTTCAAAGCTTCTTCTCAATGGTGACGATGAACAACGTAATAGGGTTGATCCCTCTAGTGATCCTTCCCATGATCCCTWTGATCCCAATGAGCCTGATCCAGCCAAGTGCAATGCTCTACAAAGCTCACTTTGGGAGCTCAAAACCCTTGAGAGCCACTATTATCCAAAGATGCCTGCTCTRGTGGAAGCCTTCCAAAAGCCACTGGACAAGGTTGAAGTGGATATATCTAAGCACTTTGAGGTTGGATATGATGATCTTTTTGATAAGCATTGTGTRAAGGTAATGGAGAGTAATGCAATTCTGGAGTATCAAGTACCCAAGGGTATTCTGGGAGCAGAATTGTCAGAGATGTGGACTCTTGAGGACTAATGTGTCTTCATTGTAGACATTTTTAGTTTACAGGTCGAAGTGTGTTGTTTTATCTCATAGGAAACTATTTTCAAACTAGTTAACTTGGAAGCGTCAGCCTTCATGCAAGTACATGTATATTTCTAGTTCTTTAAAAAACCCTGAATAACTTGTATTATTATAAACATATCTATCACTCATACTGCGCTGTGATTGGCTACTCTACTAATGGTCTAATTTGTGATAGACCACTTGCGGGAAAATCAATCTCATTAATAAATTATTCTAAGGATATTTCAATTTGTTTTCATTATTTGACCGATTAGTATGTTTATACTGAAACAATTAGACCTCTCGGCCTCGTGGACTACAGGCTAATAGCCCATTGGACCTCGCGGACTCAGCCTCATGGGCTATTAGCTCGTAGTCCACTCGACCTCTAGGTCTAATTGTTAAATAGCTGAATTAGGAGTTTTACCATCAGAAGTCACTAAAGCTTGATGTGGTGTGAGTGTTGTTCTAGCTTAATGGAATGGTGGGCCTTTTCCAAAATAGCACTATGCATTGCATTAAAGTCTAGATTGGGTACAAACATCTCATKTTCATGCAGCCAAATATGGTGTTATTTACCTGAAGCTAGACCACAATGCACCATGACTTTATATTAACATTTTGAAAATATAATTAACTAAAAAAAGACATAAATTGCAAATACTGCATTATAAGATATAACTTGAAAATAATAAATTATACTGCAGACATTATGACTATTTTCTGTGAAAAAGCCTAAGAAACTATGGTACAGTGATAGTTTTCTATATTCCATCGTCAGAATGTGGCTAAAATTGTACCAAAATTCAACATTTTTTGTTTATTTTGATCTCGTCCGCCAAATTTCTTGTTAAATAATGTACAAGGTTGAGAGATATGAATGTTAAAATCTGGTTGGTTCACTTTCTTCAATCTATGATGGGCCTCTAAATTTTTTGTGTCAATTATGTTTATATATGTCATGTCCCTCACTTGTAAATACATGAAAACATCAACAAGGTCATTTGCATAAATATATTTTTAATATTTGCATGAAGAATTGTAATTTTAAACTTTAGATRTATAGGAATATTTATGTTATTGAMATTGTAAAGAAGTTTTGGAGYTTTATGTTGGATATTYTGTCAAWGAAATTWWWAAMAWRAYATATGCAAATKACTTTGTTGTTGTTGTCTTTACGTTTTTACTACTGAAATACGCTAAATATTATTTCAGTTTTTATTTGTCGAGAGAATCGTTCTTGTAATGACTACTTTTATTCTGTGTTTAGTAAATCTTAATCTGTAGTTGGTCTTTGTTGTAGTCTTAATTCTGATAACATGCTGGGACAATTTAGGAAATTTGTGCACCTACAATGATTTTTCTTTGTGTAAACAATGAAAGATTATATATTACATTATATGATTGAGAACATTTCTACCATTACCACATTGAAGGAAATTTCTAGACGTTTGTGTGTWTATACTTCAATTATGCAAAGTTAGACGGCGCACTCAATTTGGTGCGATGCGTTCATGGACGTAAACACTCTAAGTGCTTTYATTAAAAGTGTGAAAACACTTYCATTAAAAACAAAATTTACCCTACTAAAACTCGTGATTTTAGTCGTATTTTTACACTTAAAGTTWGAGATAACTGTTTTGAATTAAACTGAGGAGAAATGTTTAATAATTAATGTCATCAAACAAGAATTTCTTTCTTTTAAAGTTGAAAAAATCACTCTAAAAGGGAAAAAATCAATAAATTGTAGATTGACATGAGGTTATAAGCTTGAAATTTTTGTTTTATTATGACGGTTTTCATGTTCATTCTTTATCTTATACCAAAATACTTTATAAACGCATTAATATTGATAGTCGAGTGTTTTTAAAACTTCCCTTAGAGTGGAACAAGACAGGCTAACATCACTTTAYCGAAAGACGTGAGGGAATGTAAAATAGGATGGAATTCCCAGCTCCGAGAGCGCTCCATTAACTAAGTGCTTCTTGAAAAAAACGTCTATTCTCATAAWTTCTACACATTGAAATTCCAAGTGCCGTTTAAGAAGACGTAAGAGCGACATTTTTGCACTGATTGACGTTGTTAAGATTCTTCAGGATCATTGGAGCTTGGTCTTGCTTCGCTACCGCTATCCAATTGGTGAACAATATGCTATTTTTGATAAATTGAGGTTTTGTGTCGGTGATTTTTGGACAAAGGAGCTCTACGTGTGAAACGATTCTAGAGCTCAGCGCTACACTAAGCATGACATAATCGAGTAACTACAGCACAGTCTAATCACAAGGAATATAGTTTTAATCGAGTTTCTAAACAGTGTGTGAGCAAATGGGAAATTCAAGATCTGCAAGTTTTGAAATTGATCATCATCCAGGCGAAAGCAAACCCAAACGCTTCAAAAAATCACGAGAGAAACTGTCATTCGATGGAGGACATCATTTGGAAAGACCTGCAAGTCTGTATGCCTCCGTCTACGCCGAAAGTTCGACAAGTGATTCGAGTAAAGAATCCGAAACAATGTCAACCCTGTCTTCAGCATCAACAACGGACAATATTGCATCATTTGAACGATCAAAAACCTTTCCGTCAATAATCCCAGAAATTGTGGAGCCTGAATCGCCTAAACCGAGCAATGAAATGCGACGTAGAAGCAAAACATGGCAGCCGTCGCATTTTGACGCGTTTTTTAGTCAGATTTTAGAGACAATTGAACAAGAAGCTGGYAAAAAATCCCCGGTCACTTTGCGTCGAAATACTACAAACAGCAGTCGGTCGTCGCCGAAGCGATGGTCTGGTGTGTTTAATTAAACGCTTTCATCTTCCTGCAGGGGGCTGGCTACACATATGAGACCTCATGTAAATATTGAAGAGATTATTATTTTTTCTTAATCCGAAAGAGAGATCTATAAGAGAGCGGAAGCCACTTTTGCCATTAGGTAGAACAAGCAGTACTAAAGTATCAGATTTTCATAAAAAGTGGAGTAGAGAAAGAGATGTTTGTGGAATTGCATCACAGAGAATCTTCCCACTTTRCGCCTTCGATTTGTAGGAARARATAAGARCAGAGATGGTTTCATGGTTATAAACTACAAAAACTGACACTTTCAGAAAATCACTAGTCTCTAGGCATAGTAGTAGAATSCAACGAAGTCCTATCGTTCATGTATCGTTGCAAAACTCAAGGAACTTTGGATAAAGCAACCATTATGACTGCATCGACAAAATGGATYTCTCCAAGAACATCAAAACCACAAAAATAATTTGCCAGAGTTGGCTAAAATTGAATTGATGTACTGACCAAGTTTTAAAAGATTTTTTAAAAGAATTGGCAAAGTTAGTATAGTATACTTCCAGTTATAACTGGGTACTATCGAATCACTATTTAATGATTTAAAAATAAGAATAAAATTAATCATAAAAAAAATAAATAAAGAAAGAAAAGAGTAACCAGAGGAAGTTAACCATATCATTTTGCGAAGGMAATGCTCYAGGCTTGATAAGCCTTCCACCTTCAGTCTAAGGCCTTTGACGAAACTCACTTTCATCAGAAGCCTTGACTAAGGATCGAAAGCTCTTAATCCGTTAAAACTAAAAACCATAGAGCATTTCCTTCTGAAAAAAGTAATTACTCAGCTAATGCTACTATCTTAGATTATATTAAATGCTCAAAATATAGTAACCTCGACTGCAGACTGTTAAGTGTTAAATAAAATATGCTTGAGGCCATGACAAAGTTGTAAAAACAGCAAAAAAAAACCATCTTTGAATGAACATGGACAGTCAATTCCCTTAAGTCTTTTGAACTAATAATTATTCATGTAAGTTCAGTTTGCAGTTGATGGCCTTTGGATAAAGGCCGAAATATACATGTAGTAAAAAAAAAATGATAAATCTTCTCGTAATCCTTTTCGTATTCAAACTACATGCCCAAAAGAATATATTTAGCAAATAAAGTGATCTCCACAGTGAAGCATAGACTTTTCTAATATACGGACACCTACATTCAGTACTGCGGAATCCGATCTGCATAGTACACCTCTATATTACGGACATCTCTACATGATGTATTTGTGGACACTTTGACTTACGGAGCCGTTTGTCGAGTTGGAATAATTTAGAGAGCTATGGGCAATGAGGACACCTACATTGATGCTTCTGTTTTTATGTACATCTTAACTATCGCATTATAACAAAAGTGTTTTCTATAACGTTAAAGTGCATACATCCTCTTCAAATACACGTAAAATGGTTTTGTTTGGTACTAAATATAAGAGGTGTAGAATTGAAAACAAAGAGCTATGGATGTCTGCATATAGCTGCCCATTTCCTTTTAAGCTTCTATGTTATGATTCTTTTAAATTCTTCGAAATGCGTGCACGATGGAATGGCGCCTAAGCTCGCTTAAATGTGGTAGTTGTCCGGCATGGTGGACAGCGTGCCTTCGTTCGTCGTTGACTAAAGAATAGAAAGAATCAATTGCAACCTCTCATCTCAAAATATGTTGTTTTTAGTTTTTCGAGTTTTTGTCAGTATATTTTTCTGCACAAGAACTTTCAATTATGCTAGATACATTAAACTTGACATGATTGCTGTCATGATTCCTATTATAAAAGTGAGAGTTCTATATAGGTTTGTTTGAGGATTGTTTGAGCAATTAAGCTTGCGTTGAATTTCTCACTTTCTTTGTATTCACAGAAAATAACAAGTTGCTGACTAAAAAAAAATCAGTTGAGAAAGAAATKATCAGTTTCTTTGTCAAATGGTYAGAGGTGCAATCGGTATTAAAAGYGAAGTACTAAGGCGTTCATATTGACACCGGGTAACGATATTACATGTCTGAAGGACTATTATTATTATTTCTGTCCCTAGTGCTTTCTAATTCAAACAATTATTGTATTATTTTTAATACAAAAACGCTGCAAAACATCGCCGAATTTGCGTAAAATCGATCGCTTTTGGTTTTCCTCAAATCTAAAAGTTCCTAAAACACTGAATTTGCCTTAAATTTAAATTTAACTTAAATTCAAAAATATTGACATTCCATGTACATGTATGGGTTTGTTTACTTTCCTTGTGAAACGCAAATTATAAAATTTGCATTTTTAAAATAGAGCGG